ATTATATATTATATATTATATATTACATATTAATTATATATTATATATTATTATATATATATAATGATATTTTTGTCTTTTCTTTATTTATTTATTTAGCTACGCTTTTTATTTCTACATAGAATTCATGTTACTAAATTTGGACCAAAGTTGCTAAACAGCTCTGTGATCACACGCTGCAGATCTCAGCTGTAGGTTTTTTATTACTTGTTTTCTATCATCATACTAGTATAAAGTAAACTTCTTATCTAAAGATTTTGACAGAAAATTTTTTTTGACAGTTTTTGATTATCAACCTGTGCGTGGCTTTCCTTCTTTTTTGTTTACTTCTGTCAGACCGGAACCAAATATATTTGATAAGCCACTTCCACCACCACCGGTTACTTGCGAGATCAGTTCAGGGTTTGAAAGTAAATCACCAAGAATTTCCCAACCTTTCGGATCCTGGATTAACTGCAACGCTGTCTGGAAAATAAAGGTGACTTATTTTTTTTTGGTACTTGCTAAGTTAATGATAGGCTAAGAAGTTGATATTTGCTATGGATTAGGTCACCATCTGCGAACAAAAGTGTTTTTCTTCATTACAGTATAAAACTACAGTTTTTTGTAGTTGTTCATTATATCTTTAAGAATTTATTGTCTGTTTGAAGATTTTTTGTCAGCGACCTGGAAGTTTGTGAAGAACTCGCTTTTTCGAAATTGGTCAATAGCCTTATAGATATCTCCACAGCTCAGCCTGTTACAAATACCGAGAAATTCTGGTAATTCTGCTATTGGGTCCTCAAAGTCTCCTTGAGGTGAGGTAAGGAAAGCCTCAAAAATTTTTGCTAAATCCACGGGTTTTGCTGCAAAATTCGTTTTATTATTCTGGGATTGTCAAAGCGTTTGAGTTTTTAAAAATACAGTTTTGTTTTTTTTTTTTTCAAATGTCAGCTTTACAGTGAAGAAGGCAAGAAAATATTTGAGGTACTGACCTACTTTAGGATAAATTGTAGCAGAATCTTATGAAGATCGGAAGATTAAATGAACTTATTTTGAAGCGGTATTTAAATATGAAATTTTAATTAAAATAACCGTTTGAAAACATTTCTGGGAAAAAGGAGATGTCAGATTGGACATTCGCTTTATTGCTACCGCCTCTGTGGTTGTTTATCTGTTTAGTGCCGTACTCGGGACTGCTTTTTTTGATGTCATTAAATTTACGTTTCGGGATCGAGTCTTTCCTTCGATCGTCCATTATATGGAATATTGTCGTCAAAACGCCAGTTGGTCCAAATAAAGTGCTAGCCCACTGTTCATCTTTGATCTGCTTCCGAACTTCTAAATGACCGAGAAGAATATGTAGGCCAGTCATTAATTTTTCCAAGTGAACGAGTTACATCTTGTTGTTAAAATCTTTCATTTTAGTGCACAATGAGGTGATAAGGTAAGATGTTACCTAATTTACCTCGTGGGGGCGCATCGTGGCTCAAGGAGGCATCAAATTTCCTCTTTTCACTGTCGCTGAACACTTCTGGGTTTTTTGGCTAGAAATTAATTAGAACATTTGATTTCGTGGGTGACTGTATACAGATATTTAGTGAGTCCGACTTTTTAGCATTGATTATATTTTTTAGTAAGTGATCGATTAGAAGTGCAGCAATTTTCCAAAGAAGTTTTGAACCAACGTTTTTGTACAGTTCTGAAGAGTGATATTTCACTGTTGAACTGTCGAAGTAACGCATAATGTTCTCAAGAAGCTTGCTTCGGAAAAAGAACGATGAGAGGTATGAAAGCACTTTCCCTTGTACTGCAATGACAATAATTATAACTTTGGTATCAACCACAACGGCTGCAACTTCTGTAATTTGTGTATAGCATAAATACAACTTTTTTTGGATGGAAAGAATTATTACCAACAGTAAAAGTAGAGGTTTAAATAGGTGCTACAGTAGTTGACATAAAGTTGTGAAGTAAAAGAAAGAATTGTTAGGAGAACTGAGAACATGTGATTTGACCAGTTTATAATAGGATTTCTTCCTGTGATTCCTGTTTTTACGTCTTCTAGATGATTTTTTCCAAAATTGTCTGCTAGGAGAGTTCTAACGATCATCTTAGTGTGTTTTAAGGTAACTGTTGAATTACATTACCAGCGTCTCCAAAACGTGTAGTTTTTGGACTGAATGCCGTGGCAGAAATTAAACTGAAGTTTTATATAACTTCCTATAAAACATATTTATAAATTTAAGACAGTTGGATTTCTAAAAACTTAATTTCTTTCTTCTTTCTCACATGCTTATCACACTTCTATTCAACTTTTGGATTTTTTTATCTTTTTAAAATTAGTTTTAGTTTTTATTTTTGCGGTTTATTTATCCTTACAAGAAATCATTTGTGACATTCTCAGAAAGCAGTAGAAAGCTTTAACTGGATGAATATGTAATTAGCAGGTAAAAACTAGGTGGTAATTATGTGAAGTTTCAAAAAACCTAAAAATTAGCGTAGAGTGGGATCAAGAATACGGATATGAAAAATCGCTAAGGATAGGGCCAAAAAGAGTATTTTTAAGGGGGCTACTATAATTGAACTGTGTTAAAAGTAATTTAGCTGAACAGTGCCGCTTGTACGATATCGATTACTATTGTCATTTCTCCTAAAATATGTTATGTGTCTGAAGGTTAACCTATATGATATCCGTATACAGCATCAAAACGATTATTGGTTACCACTGAATTGTGGTAAAAAAAAGCCAACTTTAGAACAGTTGAAA